TGCTGGGTTCAACTTGTGGTTTGGGGAGTTGAACCCTTGGTCCCTGTGGGAAAAAGGTTAGTCACCCCTAACCACCTTTGCAAACCACCAGTTGGAAGGAAGCGGATTCTTTTCAGACTGCCGAAACCAGAATGTGGGACAGGCCTTTAGAACTTTGGGCGCCTCCAAAAAGCAGCGACGCGCTTTGATTGAACCGGGCAACCAAGACAGACAAGGTGTCTCCAGAAAAGCCAACGAGCATATTCATGCTACCTACCCTCCTGCAAGACCCATTCACAGTTCAGGGCTGGGGGGGGGTATACCCATTCAAGTTATCCCTATATGCGGAATAGTGAGCAACAATCAAATTTAGCACGAGGTCAGAGACTTTCCGAAAAATGCGTGGGCCACAATTGGGGCAACTTGCTATCTGACTATCTGATTGTTGCTCACATGCAAGTATCTCAAAGCACAACCGCAAGAAATATATAGAAATATCACGGGATGCCCCTAGCAGATCGTCCACATGCCAGCAGCCGATTTGCTGTTTGTCGGCTTGGAGGTTGGGACTTGGTTGATTCCGGCGCCAGAAACAAAAAACATGAAACACCAGCACCAGGGGTTTTGTACCTCGGTGAGTTGGGTTGGGTTACACACACACACACCTGCTTTGAAGAAGAAACAAAAACCGGCCAAGCCCATTACAGAGTCGCCTCCAAGGAAGGAAGGTGCTTCCAATCTGCACAAATGAAAAAGCACCCACAGAACCCACAGAACCCATTGACTTACCTCAAGCAACACGCAATTCCCCCAAAACCAACCCTAAACCCACCCAAAAACCAACTCACCCCAAGCATCCAGTAGCCTGGAGCTTCAGCCTGCGCGCGCCTCGCGCCAGCTCTGGTCCACGTCAGGCCGTGTGGCGGCCCAGCTCTGCTCAAGGCCGCCATGGCCCGGCGGAACCGTCCGCAGGCGCTCCACGGCTCGGCCCAAGTTGTGTCGCAAAAGCTCAGCCTGCTGGAGTTACATGAAAAACAAATGCGCCTCCCACAAGGCCCAAAAAAGCAGCAAGTTAAACAGGTAAGCTAACTTTGGCGTTGCAAAAAAAAAAAAACACTTGGGCAGATCTAGCCTACATCCTCCTCCGAGCAATCTCCCTCGCACACCCGACAGACAGGGTGCCTTGTACGTCTTCCTCAATCATCAGACGCAAACTCTATCAACATTGGCCCAATTTGGTTTGAATCCGCCCAAAAGACCCGACACACATGCTTGTCAAGCCTTCGCCAGACGGGGCTATCTTCAAAACACACGCAGCCGTGCGCGCATGTTGTTCTAAAGGGAAACCAAAAAGGAGAATCCGCGTGTCATTTAGAGTGCTCAAATTGCTTCAAAGCCCAATATCCCAAAGACGGTAGATGCAAAATAGACGGCTAGCGTTCACCATACCCAGTGAACCCAGCTACCACAAAAGGAGGTAGGCAGGATATAGAGGGTACTAAACAGCGGGTCCGCAAGGACTGCGAGACCCATCCCCTTTCGTTTCCCCTAAAATTGCTGTTTCGTAACCCAAAAATCTGAGATACGGAGAACCCAGCGACCAGCGAGAGACCTTTTGCGAGAGCCGAGCCAGCCTCCTCGCTGGGCAGGTCCGTCAAGCGAGCCTCACTGATGGAGTCCTCGAAACAGAACTGGAATCCTTTCCTGGGTCCCAGGGTACCATCTGCTCTTGGCCAGTTGAACATCCCAATCCCCACTAAAATAGACTAAAATGGGTGGTGCACCTACCCCAAAATGGTCCATTGGTTTTGACCCACAGCCATTTGGGGCTCTTACTTCCTGGATGGGCCAAAAAAAGTCCAAGCTGTTTACTTATCATCCAACATGCTCTCCCCAAAAAGTATACAGTCCGGGAACTCAGGAAGCGAGTGTTTCTGTTTCTGGCTGTGGGCCAAAGTGATTTGCTTCTAAAATGGTCCAACCCCAAAAAGCAACATGCCCAGGAAGTCAGCGAGTGAGTTGATTGCCCCCAAGGCAGACTTCAACCCACCGTGCAAATCTAGGTCCTCCAAAGGTTAGAATAAGGATACCCTTTTGTTGGTAGTTTATTTTAGTAGGGGAACCCTCCCCAAAAAAGAAACGGCAAAAGGGTACTACTGGGGGACCTGGAAATACACGCCGGGCATGGACTGCGAGGTCGAATCGAAAGAAGATGCGGCAAGTTACTCCACTCTGCCCAGTCCCTTTGACTGGGCAGAAGCCCTGGATGTTCAAGCCACTTAGTAGGCTATATCCACGGCTATAGCTGGGGGCAGTGGTTCACCATGGTTGTAACCCACTTGCCGAGTGGATTGAACGTCCAGGTAGAAACTAGATTGACACAACATCCACAAGGGATGCTGGATTTCAGACCAAAACCGATTTACTGGCTTCCAAAACTGCCACCTGCTTTCAGTGGAAGTCGAGGAACCTCCAAGGATGTCCATGTTGACGGGAGAAAAAGTGGGGACCAAGGCCAAATCCTCTTTTGAGGTGGGAAAATGGCAACCAACTTTGTGTGGCAGTTGACTGTTGCCAGGGAATCCGCCTCCAAAACTGCGCTGTCCGTTGTCTGACCCGCTAAAAAAGGCGGGCTTGTGGGTACACGGAAACCCAACGACTAAACCAACTAAAAACAACTAAGAGCCCAAGAAACGGGATGCCTGGGAAGCACCAAGAGCAGAAGTTGACCAGCAGGCGACAGGAAAGATTCTGGGCCAACTTACCCTTTCCCTCGGACCAGTCCTGGCTGCTATGTCGCCTCAGCTGTTGCTCGCCATTGACAGCCCTTTTTGGTAATGTAAGAAAAGGGCAACCACGGGCTTGTGCTTTTTGAGGGTACCCTTGTTCCAGTTGGATCGGAAAGCAAACCATCTTGGGTCTGGTGGGCAACACACCCTCATCATCGGTTTAGCCACCTTACTAGTACTCCAGGGATTGGCCAAGTACGTGGCAACGAGACTCTTGCTAGGAATCCCCCTAAGCAGGCGGCTTAAATAGATGGTGCACATGAAAAGGTCAACCCGCTGGGAGGGGGAAAAGCTTGGACAGCTTGCTCCTTAGAACCGTTCTGGACATGGCCTTTTTGATTTGCTTTGCGCCGAGTGGGAATCGAAAAAAGAAACGAAACAGCAACACAAAACACCCCCCTTGCACGAAGGCCAAATATACGCCACATATATTCCAAATCAGGCCAAGCATTGGCAACCTCAGGTTAGCTATAGGCCATGAGTCGAGCTGTGATGCGTTGAATTGGTTGTATATTGTTTACTGCCACCCACTCAAATACTGGCAAACCCAACGAACTAACTTAAACTGATACGTCTACACATACTGGTCCTTTGGTCCTTCGAAACCATCCCACAAATGGGTACTCTCCAAAATGGTTGGTGTTGCTCCAAGGGGCCGATCAAATGGCAAGAGGGAAGTCCTGAAACACTGGCATTGCCAACTCGATGGGTACCCTCAAAAGCAAACAAGACTGGGCTGTGCCAGATCCCCTGCTCAAAGTTGAGCTTAGGGGGGTAAAAAAATGAAACCCAACCACTAAACCAACTAACAACCTACAAACCAAAGGAACCGCACGATTCGCTGGTGCTGAACCGCCATGAATCCAATCCCTTGTTCTGCTTCACTCAGTGTCACGCTGCCGTGGAGGCTCCTGTGCGAGTCAGGCTCTCAATCAACATTGCGCGCTTCGAGGCATTGGCTCCGAGCCAAGTCAGCGACGAAGAACACGATGACTTTTGGCAACATGGGCATGACGGTTTATAGTTGTAGGCCTTACTACAAACCCCCAATGAAACCTGTTGCAACATCTACTTGAATGGTCAACAGGGGCTTTGGGTGCTGCCTCTGTGTGCATTTGCGAGTGTGCCTGCCAACATGCAACCTCATTTCTGGAAAACCATTCTCCTCTCCTCCGGTGAGTTCCATTTTGAAGGCTCCATTCCAAGAACATCCAGAGCGACAACGAGTGCCTGGACCTGTACGACGGACCCTGCTCCAAACGGTTGTTGTCAGGCAAAAGGAAACCAACCATGTAACCACACCAAACGCGTGAATCAAATGGTTGGTCCTGCAAAAATAAAAGGTTTAGAAGGCAGCATTAGCCGCTGCCAGATTGGACAGCAGGAATCCTGAGCAGAAAGCTCACCAAGGACCGGAACTTTTGAGACGCTCAGTGGATGGGCCCAAAAGAGCCTAAATTTTTGGTTTACCAGTAAAATGGTCTTACCAAAAAGTTTTTAAAGTCCAGAAATTTAGGGAGTGAGGTAAACACTCAAACACCAACAACATCCAACCACGTTTTTTGGCTGGGCAAAAGATGAGTCGCAATCGAATCCTGGCAAAGAGACTTGGGCGATTTGGCGGGTATTTCTGGTTGGGACAGTCCCCTGCAAACCTTCGCCTGACCAAGTTTAGATTCTGGCTCACCTTTGAAGAATTTAACACTTCCAAAGCCCTATGACGGCTGGTACCAAGAGGATTGCAACGGTTCATAGCGCTGCTTCCAGGCAAGAGCAAACACAAGGTCAGCAGATTGCCGAGCTTGCCATTTGCCGCTCCCTATGGCCAAGTTGGATGTGCCAACTTAAGTCTAGGTAGCCATGGCTAGGGGACCAACCCCAACCCAAATGAACGTGGTAACCTACTCAGTTGGTTGAGCATCCAAGGAAACCAACGTTGACCGTTGAATGGGCGAACAACTGTGTTCCTTTCGGATGCTACAATCTCTCACATTTCCCTTCTCCACCTACCCGTCTCCCTTAAAGGAGGGAAGAGGAGGAAAGCTCGCCTTACAGCCGAGGCTTACTAAATGAGAAATTCATTGACAGGCAACTTCAGAATGAAGAAGTCATAGAAATAGAATGAGACAGTGACAGAAATAGAATGGTTCCTTGGGAGCTCCGTTTCATTCATCATGCTATCTCTCTCATTCCTATCTTCTGGAAAATAATGCAGGTACCAAATGTTAAGATCTCATTTCTATATCTCTGTACTGTACATGTATTCTTCGATCTGGCATTATTTGTTTGAGGGGCTTGCTATTCGAAGTTCAGTGTCAAATCACCCCCGCTTCAAAATAACACCTTGGTGGTCGTAGCAACTCTTAGTGCCGTGGAATATGCTATAAATCCTTCATTCTCAAAGTATAAAAGTCCAAGAATCAGAAAGCGAATGGATCCAAACAGCTGATGCGACAGCACCACGAAACAGGATCTTCATGCAACCAGAACTGCGCGTGCTGTGATATCAGAGTGGTGTGATACCTATCTAATGACCATACTTTATCACCAGATGAAACTTCAAAGAAATGGGCTTCACCTTTGTTCCACACCTGTTTGGGGGCATAGAAACTGCTCTTCAAGTTTCGGACTGGACGGTGCACCTGCTTTTCCCCCAGCCTGAGGACTGGACAATGCTTGTGCAATTTTTGTTGAGCTGGCACCTTTTTTTGTGGGGTTGGATTGAAGCCAAAGGGAAACCACTGTGAGGGCTCTCAGCATTTTGAGACGCACCCAAATTGGTGTGACATAGACCCTTGGCAGGGCACTTATGTTGAAACTTGGCTCCACCCTCTGCGAGCAATTCCAAAAGGGTGGTTTCCTTAAATATCCCCTTTAGCAACCCCTCTAAAGGCCCCTCAAAACAGGCTCACCCGCCAAGTTTTGCCCAACTCCGGTCCTCTCTGTTCTCTAGCTGCACCTGGCGCGAGGCAGTTCCATGATGTTCCATGGGTGGGCCACCTTTCGGGAAAAGCCTAATGCCTATGACAGGAGCCAGGAGCCCCTTGAAACAAGCAACCTCATGTAGCACCTTAAGGCTAGATTACCTTACCTACTATAGTAACTATAAGCCCTAGGCACTAGTGTTTAAGAAGCCCCGCTTGGGCTTCCCTATAGGTACTAGGGACAGGTCCTGACATAGTTTGCCCTCTGAGGCTCGCAGAAAAGATCACCAAAGTACCGGCGCATCTCCCTACGCGCCAGCCATGCTCGGGGCAATTTTAAGTCGCGGGGCATTCACTGTTGCTTCTACCAACATGGTTATAGCAAATTATATAAGACTTACTTTCGCAACCTCCATGAAACCAAGTAGTAGCACCAGCCACTAAAATGGCCAAGACAAGTTTGTGACGCTGCACAATTTATTCACCCATTGCTTCGAGACACCACAAACAGTTCTTGGTGTGTCGCAAGGTTCCCGATTTCATGGAGCATCTCACTTGCCCTTTGAGGGTGATCTCCATTTGGGTAAAGATAAACTATAGCACCTCCCTCCCCACAACCGAAGAAGGGTTCCTTGGAACGTTCTTAGAAGGGATTCATGGAAGGGTTTTTTAGGAGAGGGTTCTCTGACAAGCGTTGTCTAATTGGGTTCCCTCGACAAAGTCGGTCCGAACTAGACAACAAAAGGTCATTTCGACACATCCAAAAAGTTGCCGCTGCAACAAGGCAACTTTTTGCTCCCGCATCCGCATGGTTGGCTACCCCACCAGACTCAGTCGAGCCGCAAATCAACATTTTGCTGGTTGAACAGCAAGATGAAGAAACACCAAGAAGGCAAAAAGTGAAAGGTAACCTAGTCTGGCCACGCATGAGGGAACGCGTTTTCCCCTGAATTTGGCAAATCTAGATCGCAGCGCTCCGAACAGACTCCCTTCGACCGACCCAATGGACAGGTCTCTTCTTGTGTCAATCAGCTGAGGGTCGTAGCACATGGTTTCTGGGTCAACGTCCAAAATTCAGCAATTGTAAATGAGAAATCCCCAACTATGTGGCTATTGCCCCCTGCACAAAAAACAAGTTGAACTGTTGCTTCCGTGGGGAAGCACACAGCTTCCAATGAGGAAGCACACAGTTTGTAACTAGTCAAAGCATCAAAATCCAGTTCAATAGCAGCCGGTGAGTGACCGAGGGCTCGCTTTCCAGGCCCGAAAATCTGGCAGCTTTACAAAACAGAACACCAACGTGTGAAACCTCGAAATCCACTCCAAACGATATGTTATAATATATATAATGTGTTATATATATATATATATGTATATATATATATATTCCTTTGATGAATTTATGGAGAATTGATGATTTACTCAAAAAACATATTTGTAAAACATCGATCTGTACTTTCCCTTTGGACGTTGAAACCATCCTCATGTTAGTCCAGCAAAAATACAAAACGTCGACCCAGTTCCAGCCGCAAAACAGGGGGGGACCCCAACAAGTGCTTCCTTTCGGTGCTTTTTTTCCGACCAACGCCTGACCTTGGAAGGGGAGCAACAAACATAATTTTCAGCAGTTAAGTGGTTGGATTTCAACCACCAAACCACAATATCCGCAGAAATGTGAAAAATGCTTCCCCAACAACAACCCTGTTAAATTTCGGGGGTTGTCTCTCGGCTGGTTTTTTGGCAGCCAACCAAGGCGTACCTTCCACGGCTTCTTCGCGCCTTCCTCGCGCAAATCGCTCGCCATCGCGCGAATCGCTGGAAATCGGCGCGGGTCCGCGCCTGGGAGAGGCTCTGCCGCGCTCCTAGGGCTGCCGCCACCAGCTCCTCCGCGGTGCGCTGCAGGTCCTGCGGCCCCGAAACGGCCAGCCGCGAGCCGCGAGGTGTGGAGTGCGAGTGGAGCGAGTGGTGCGGATGGGCCAGCTCGCACGGCCATGGGAACCAGGTCCTCCAGATTTGAGAGGTTAGAAGGGCACCGACTTGTTTTTCTCGGTAGTCTATCTTAGGGTCCGGGAATGAAATTTGAAGGTTTGTGGGTATTATCTAGGTCCTCCAGATTTGAGAGGTTAGAAGGGCACCGACTTTTTTTTTCTCGGTAGTCTATCTTAGGGTCCGGGAATGAAATTAGAAGGTTTGTGGGTATTTATCTAGGTCCTCCAGAATTGAGAGGATAGAAGGGTACCCAGTTTTTTTGGTAGTCGGGAACCAGGTCCTCCAGTGAGAAAATCCAAGCACGCGATAAAACTGCCCGACCCCAATTCCATCTTTTGGGGGGTGGGGAGAATTATGTTTCTTTCTAGGTCCTCCAGCACAGAGGTTAAAATAAGGGTACCAACATGTACCAACTTTTTCAGGACGTCTATTTGAGGAGAACTCTCCCCCAAAAACAAACGGTAACAGTCGGCACTGGGGGAGCTAGGGAATGAAGCCAGAACGGTGTGCTTGGTATTTACGTTGGTTGGAATCGAATCAGAAACTGTGGTTTTTCTTTCTGAACGGTGGATTTCCCATCCCCCATGGACTCCATGAGCAACATACCTCACATGAGCCACAATCAAAACCCAAGTAGATGAAGGTTCGTAAGGGGCAGTCCCAGCCAGAAATAGTTGCGGATATCCGCCTTCTTAATTCTTGAAGCATGGTTCTGGGTAGACCATTTTCCTACCGGGTTTTGATTGTGACTCACATACCTTGTGGTTCCCAGGCATACGGATCAGACCTTTGATTTTACTCAGCGATCGAGAAGCTTGGGCAAAATAGTGACACTCGTTATTTACCACTGAAGTGGTGCCCCGAAAAGTGACTAAGCTCCAGAAACTCAGGGAGTGAGTTTAGTGGGAGTGACAAATCTCTCCAAACTCCAAAAGTTAACAGTCCGAGAAACCGTATGGCTGCCTTCGCTTCGGCTTTAGTTCGGCTCCGTTTTGTTGTGACCTTTTCACCTGGGTTGAAACTGTTTCGGGGGTCTCCCTGTTTTGACACATACCTAGGCACGGTTTGGGACCCATCTATGTTGCTTTCCCCGTGAAACCAACCGATTAACCTTCAAAGAGCATTTCACCGAGAGCTTCAAGGCCTTTTCGAGAGCTTTTTGGCTTAGCCTGCGTCTCCGGGAATAATGCTCCCCGTTTGGTCCCTCTCGGTCCATGAACAACATACCGACATCACATACCTCGTGGTTCCCTGAAGGCCGGCTCTCTTCCAATTGACCCGCAAAGCAGATCCGCAACACCCGGGGGGTTTGGGGGGGGGGCTTCGGGTTCCTAGGGGGATTCAACAATAGGGGCAATACAGCTGCAACCGTTTCACCAAGAAGACTTCGTTGGCCTCACGCGCTACACCAACGAGAGGAACGTTGAGAAACCCCCAAGCGCCAAGTACGGTGTTGCGCACAGTTGCTCCCTCCGCAAAAGTCACCCAGTCGTCCAAAAGGGGCAACTCTGTGCTAAACAAAGTTGGGAGGATACAAGTTAGGTTCACAGTCCCCAATGCGGGATCGGCTGAAGGAGTTTGATTTCACGAGCGAAAGGATCAACCGGGCTTGGGGTTGGGCCGTACCCGAGCCCTAGCATTGCTGTTCCTGAAGAGGGCGCTACGCAGATCAAAGAAACCAAAGCTCGAATGGGGAGATCCAAAACAGACATTTGATGACGGATGCCCATTCGCCTTTCTTACCTGGCGCAAGGATGAAGGTATCGGCCAGTGCTGGGCTCCCCTTTCTGCGTCCACAGCCAAAAAAGCTGCGCGGATGGACATAATCCTGCACCAGTTTGGACCCTACGTACCAATATGCGGATAGACCACACCAACCAATCAGTGCGAAGCGGATCGGTCTTTTCCTTTGAAAGATCAACCCATCACGAGAACAAAGCTCACTTGAGATTGGCAACTAGTGATGCTCCCAGCCGGGCAAAACAGATGACCTATTCGACTTGGCTGACCAGAACTAAGGGTGAAAATGCACAGAACCAACCCAATCGCAAACCAAGTGCTTGGGTGCTTAACGGGGACCCTGTGTTCATTCCCTCATTCCCTACTGAGCACCAGCAAGTGTACGGGAGCCGAGAATGAAATCGGTAGCACCTCCTCTCGCAAATATTTTTGCGCAGAATGTTGGTTGCCCAAAGACGGTAGAAAAAGACATCCCTTCTTCGGGTTCATGTTTAGTGGGAGTCCAGCAAGGACAAAGGGGAAAGGTATCACTGAACAGTCAAAGTGACATCCTGCCCTGGAACTTATCCACCAAGTAAGAAATGCAAACTATTTGCCAATTGTTCAGCTCCAAAACCTGAAATAAGCATTGAGTTGCCAGGAGGGCGCCTTCATGCATATCGCTCGTACGCCCGAATCGGTGAGCTCAAAACCCAGAACCAATCTAGGGCGAAAATACGAAAGCGTAATTCCCTTGTAAGTAAAAGGGATGACGAGTGAGCCAAATCAGTTGGGATTGTGCCATGTACTTTTAACTTCCTAAGTGGATTCGATAAAAGAAAATCCGAACATGTTTTTCCACCGAAGCTGTTTTACCCCCATCGCCCAAACCCGAAAAGGATAAACAAGAATTCGGGATCTCCATTCCATGCATGGGTGAGTTACATTCATCCAACCAGGGGCCCAAGAGGGGCCAGCACGACAAGGCCCCGCTCCCGCGCGGCTGCGGCGGGGTTCGGGGTCGCCTTGGGCTCGGAGTTTGTGGGGCGGTCCTTGATCCCAGGTGATGTTGACTTTTGGAGAGGCATGATCTTCCTCAATTTCCTTCATTTGCGTGTTTGTCCCCTGGAAAACATGATAACATATTTGCAAACTTACAGTTGAAAACCAACAGGGGGGAATAAAACATGTTCTTGAGACAATGGAAGTAGTCCTCTATTTAGTAAAAACTTATTCCTCTCTGTGAACACCCGACTGCGCGGGGAAGACAAGAAGAAAGGCCCTTTCTTCATCGAACCCCGTCAAACTATTCGACGTGACCATGAGGGAACACACACACGGGAGCAGCACGATCCGTTTGCCCTGTGAAAGGTTTGGCTCTCTCGTGAGCTATGAACAAACACATGGTAAGCCAGTCATTTCGATCCGGTCAGCTGATTGTGTGAAACACCCAGTTGCTAAAGGGCCAAGGGAGTTCATGGCCACAAAGGCTAGGTTTTACTATAGCCCCAGGAAGAGAGGGAATAGAACCACCTACCAACATGCCCTCTTCGGGGAGGGACATTCGTGTGTGCAACTCTTGCGACAGCACCTGTGGAACTCCCAGCATTAATAAGTTGCAGGAACCCAGATGCAGGTTCCAGGTTTTGCGGGTCACAAGTCGGGGAGAACCACCATGGGGCAAAAGCAACTAGAGGTGCCCTCCCGCCCATGGAATCTGAGGCCCTGAAAAACAGTTTGCCTCTGAAAAAGGACCCGTTGATGGGTAGAAGGGTACATATTCACCAGGCCAAACCGCCGTCGGAACACACCTCCAGGTTCATATTCTGGTTACCTACTACAGTGGCTTGCCTAGATCCACTGGGAACAAAAGTCGTCCAAGCTTTCGGCTGGGAGCGCTGAGACGGGAACAGGAAGCCGAACCATTTGAGCCCATTCCTACACCTGTTCAAAATGGAGGGTAGGAATCCAGGCTCCTCAACCTCTAGAGGCAAACCACAAAGTGAGCCAAGTCATGCCAGAGCCTTGGCTTTTGTGTCCAAACAGGGGGCCGGAAATGGGCCGCGTCCCTTTCGTTGCCCCTTGAAGCAACCCCGCGAGGCCTGAAAATTTGAACAGTCCATGGTTGCATCGATTGTTGGAGGGCCCCCTCAAAATGGTTGTTTTTTCTTCGATTTCCCTTTTGACAAATCAACAACGGTACTAGCACCCTCAAAAGAAGACTCACACCCATTCCCTGGCCCAATCCTCGCGGTTTTTAACCCTGAGACCGCGGCCACGGAAGTGTCCTAGCGCAAGTGCAACGGAAAACGGCCGCCGAATCTGAGTGGATATTTCACCACGAATTGGCAGGAAACCCCAAAAGTGGGCTTTCAAGGGTGTCCTCTACAAATGGAGGGTTTTTGGGTTTCATGTCAATCTGGGGAGTAAAACTTGGAATTTCTGGACCTTGAAAGAGTCTTCCCCGGAAACAACCAATTCTTGGACTTGGAGTGAGTCAGGAAGGGCTCAGAAAACAAAGCTTTACGCTGTTCAACCTGTAGTTTTCCCACCAAAGTTGGTTTCCCTTGTGTGTTGGTCAACTGTCACCCCAAAGCTTGCTCAACCTTATGCTTTCTCGCTGTCCTTTCCAAAACACGTTGGCTTCAGTCGGCGGTGGATCAAACAAACGTGAAGCTGGCCCTTTGGATTCCCTTTTGTTCAGTCTTCTCATTTCGATTCTCTGTGCGTGTGCGCGCCACCAAAGGTTTCATGTGTCTTTAAAAAAAACGACCAACTCCAACAGAGTACCCTCAACAAACAACACGCACACAAATCTAACGGCCCTCTTGCACACAAGGCTATGAATTTCAACACAGCACCCCGCAAACATGTGAGGTTTGGGAGGTTTGAGGCCTAGCTACGCAAAAACATGTTCGTTGGCTCCAACAATCAGTTAGCCTCTGATTTGGAAGTGTTCCGGCCGTTTACCCACCAGAACCAAGGCTTCAATCCAAATCCAAACCGACCCAAGCCACCAATCAAGCACTCAAGAATCTGAACAACAAGCCCTCAAAACCAGTGTTGTTTCCTCTTTCAAGCCTTACATGACCTTGCCTGTAGACTGTTCAAAATGGAGTGTCGGCCAATCCTAATCCATAATCCCTATCCTCTACAAAGGGGACCGGCTCTTTGAACAGCCCAGTTCCCGCTTCCCGAGTAGATGGGCCCAAAACAAGTCCAAACTTTTCCTTTGCCACCAACATGGTCCAGCCCAAAAAGTGTCAAGTCCAGGAACTCGCGAGTTGAGACAGCCAAGATAGAACACCGCGAAAGCCAAAGACCCGAAGAACCTCCAACCGCCCCACGTCCGGCGCCTCCGTGCGACTCGACTCGACAGCCTCCGCTGCACCTTCTGGTGAAATCGCGAGTCGGCGTGAAAAGGGCCCTTCCTTGGGTCAAATGGGTGTGTCTCAAAAAAAAAGGAGCCCAAAAAACGGGTGATTCTCTCTTGTTGTTCCTGTGTTGCTTGTCTTCTTTTGCTTATTGATCACTTGAGCCTTCTGATCACTAAATTGCTTTGAAGTACTCCCAAAACCCCCTGACCCAGCATTGAACAGCCGGCATCACTGGCATCCTCAGCATCACCAACATCATCGCAAGGTGAAACTTGCTCTTCGCATACCACAAGGCTGAGTGAAGTCTAGCGTGCATATTGCGCGAAAACCGCAAATTCTACTCCCCACCCCCCGACCCAGAGAAAGGTCGCTTTTTCGTCGTTCTCCATAGTTCCAAAAACGGGCCTATGCACATTATGAGAGTCGCTTGTTTTACTCCCGAATCGGTGAGCTCGAAACCTACAGGCAAAAAGACATGTCAGGGTGTCTGCTTTTGGTCGGGTAATGCTTCAAGGGAAATGACATTGGGAACCCACCAAGACCTGGAAAGATATGGCGGATGAACCTTCCAGGCCCTCGGTTATCTGTTTTGCTTCCTTGGGCTCTTTTCCTCAAAAACACACGCCAAGATGGTGGCCACTACCCGCTTCGAAGCTTCAGCCCGGGGATCTCCCCGAAACTTGGTCCAGTGGAACCAATTCCATCAACTAACCCGCCTACGGCTTTTCGGGTTAGCATGGGCGCGTCTTCAGGTCCCCAAAGTTTGTGGAGGTGAGACCTTCTACCGTGAATGGACGAAATGTGTGCCGATCGGCACCAGTTGGGAGGGATGAAACCCTATGAAAGCTGATTGCCCAAACATGCCAAACTACCAATCCCAACTGCTGCACAGATTGCCTTCAGTCGCAGAGGGTCCAATGTCTCAAAAACCGATGTTCAGTTGGTGTCCCTTTGGTTTCCATAGCAAAAAACACTAAAAGGTGGTTACTTATCCTGAGACCCCCGCATCTTCCATTTGCTGAAGTCCCCTGGAAAAAGTACATATGTTCAGTAGTGATAGATTCCCTTTAAAAGAAACAGGGGAAATAAACAAACAAATAAAAATAACATATTCTTAAGCAAATGGAAGCCATGGAGGGTCTGAGGCTTGGGGTAATTCGGCACCCCGCGCCTTGCAAGGCCGCCATCAACTTCTGGCGCCCCTCTCGACCGCTCGAAGACCCGGCGCCGCCGGAAGAGCCGCCAGAGGCATTTTCAGCCCGCAGGGCGCCTGGGGATTGGAAAGTTGGGGTTGTGGCCCTGTGGTGGGTGAGAGGGGAATCATTGGGAAAACCCTGGACCAGTCTTTTCTTTTGGGCCCCATTTTTACGCAACACTCCTTGCTGATCGTGTGATCCGAAAGCCAAGCCGGAATTCGGAAGGTGCCCGTCAGACCGACTGTCGCGACCGACTGTCCTGGAGATCCGCCCCGAGCCTTGACTAGGTCCTCCAGTAGAGAGCTTAGAACAAGGGTACCCACTTTTTCTTTGCAGTAGTTCATGTTAGTAGGGTCCCGAACCCCCCCCCACCAAAAAAAGAAACGGAAAAAGTTGGCACCGACCTTTCAGACGAGCATGGCTCGCCCCGGCCTGCATGCTGCATCAGCTCCAGCCGCGCCCGCAGAACTCGGCCACAGCGGAAAGGGAAGTCAGACGAGTCAGAGGGGCAAGTGACCACCGGGGTGTGGGTCAAAAAGCGGTACCTGGAGTCTCCATGACCCATTTTAAAATGGTTGGTCATTCGCCGAAATTCAGAAACTTTGACCCCTTTTTCTAGGGATCATGGAGACTCTAGGTACCCAATCTGGAACCCTGGTAAATGGAAACAAGGTTTGACATATGCCCACTTCAATGTGCGTGTGCTGTGTGTGTGTGTGTGTGTGTTTTGTGAGGGTATCCAAAAGGGGGAAGGTGGTGTTCATACGGTCCTTGGTCGGACATCAATTACCCATTCTGGAGGTTCCTTATTATTTGGACACACACTTGCTGGCAGAATGATGGACCATCAAGAATGCCAAGAGTTACTTGTCTGGCCAAGGGCCCGTTTCTCGGAAAGTGCCCTGGTTCACCTTGGCTTCAATCCCTTGACACGTCGACGGTGATCTTTCGGACCGAGCACAAAACCCAGGCTGGGCCAAAGAAGTCTTTGCGTTTTTGAGGCTACCCCTTTCTGGGTTGGTCTAAAGTGAAACCAACCAGAAATCTCGCGATTTCCACGACTTGTGGATTTCCCGGTGAAAAAAGCGTTTCGCCCTTTTTTTTCCCGGATGATTTTCAGGGAGGTTCCCCCCCAAAAAGCAAGTGAAGCAAACTGGGTTGCTCCCTCCCCCAAATGAGCAAAAAAGTCGCTAGACCTTTTGTAGGCCTAACGGAAACAATACATTGGGATGTCTTTTTTAAGCGTACCCCCTTGCTTCTGGTTTTAAGGGAAGCCAAAAGGAGAACCAACCATCTTGCAAGGTCCCTTCCAAAAAAACATGTCCACCCGTTTCCGAAAGCTCCTAAGGGGCATCGGAAGTTCCGGGCACCGTGAGAAGCCGTCGTTTGAGGGGAGGGCACAGCCGCGAGCAGCTAAGATCTGCAGTCGCTTGACGACTGCTGGGCGCGGATCTCGTGCGGGAGCTGCAGCTCCGCTTTCCAACCCCCCCCCCCACCCCCCTTATCCCATCCCCCCCCGCAACCCCAACCCGACTCTCGAAAGCTTTCTGAGGTGCCCCGCCGTCCCTCCGCCGGTCGATCGGCACCCCAGGCACCCCCAGCATCCAGGCGGACACTCGCCTCGGTCGATCACATGGGACACTTGGCTAAATTGGGTGCTTCTGGGTATGGGCGTTGGTTTCAAGGGCAGGGCTTTTAAAGCTTGGTTTCAAGGGACGCGAATTCAGAAACCACCAGCTTTGTGGTCCCCCTATCTTGACACATGCCCATTTGCCACTCTGCTTACTCCTTCAAACTTTGGACAAGTTTTGGAGAACCCTGGGAAACAACTGTCAATGCGTTCGGACTTGGATCAAGGGCACTTCCAGGTATGTGTCTTGGAGGTACGGCTGCGCAAAATCCATCTGCATAAGCTCGAAACTTTACTCCTTGTATGAGTTATATATATATATATTATAACCTCCATACCTGCACCATGCACACCTGCACAGGCCCAGAAAGGGTTCCGTCTTCTGGTTGTGTGAAATGCGAGTCCTCGCGTGGCCCTGCCCAAGAAAAACAAAAAACAAAAACAAAACATAGACTAGTGGTTGGTACATCTACCTATTTAGTCACTATCCGGGGTCATCGGAAGCTCATTTGAACATGGCAACCAACATGTAATCTTTCAATAACATGGACACATAAACAACACAAAAACACGGCCCTTTTCTAAGAGGTTGAGAAGTGCCCCTGTTCGAGGGTATCAAATCTTTTGTTTGGGCCGCATCTCACTTTCTTCTAAAGGGACCTGGCTGGGCCATTCTTCTCCGGATACTTCTGGTTGGGCCATTCTTCTCCGGATATTAAGGGAACAACCATTGCGCACATGTTGACTTCCGCTTGACCATAGCACATGGATTGAGCTAGTGCCTGCGTCAAACGCAGGCGCCAGCTTCCCAGCTGTGGGGGTGCCTTTACAAGCAAAACCTGGCTGGGAGTATTTTTTGTTTGGAGTTGGTACCCTTTCAGCTTGGTTTAAAGGTTGGAACCAATTGCCAGGTGCCCCAGTCCAAATGGAGGAATACCAACACATACCTGGAAGTAACCTCGGGATTCCGGGTTCAATTGGACGCCGCCTCACTAGTTTACCATCAAACTCAAACTGCAATTCGGACACAAAATAAACCTCAGTTGCTGACTTTGAAAACCCTCCCCCCAGAAACTGGGTACACCAAAACCCAATGTTCAGATAGTCTTATATAGTTAGTCAGCTTGAAAGTAGAAATCGTTTGGGAGACCCCTTTCATCATGGAAGTGAACCGGCTTTCCGAAATCCTCCCGTCAGCTTCTATGGCTGGAAAGCCGGTAGAAGTGCGTCGAAGTGTCCAAAGTTGGTGTCATGTGCTCTCCCTTCAACAACTATGGAATGTGGACAAACTGGAATCGGAATTCCCGAGGAAAAGGACGGTCAGCGAGCTCTTCTTTCCAGATGAACCCGCTAAGATTGTTGTGATACATCCCAGAACTACCTGCTTTGCAAGGGCACCCTCCAAACCCGCTGGTATTCCGGTGATTTTTTAGCTGGCCCTGCCTGGTGTCCTTTGAAGGACCATGAGAACCCAACATGGCGACGCATTTATCTTCCTCGGGGTGTGGCGTGAAGCGCCGGCGGCAGCACCAAATCAGCCGGAGAGTGCGTGCAAACCTGAGGGAACAGGGCGCCCATTCTTTGGGTGTCTCTTAAAATCCGTTGGTTCTCTTGGTTCCCTTGAAACCAACCACAGGAAGAGGGGAACCACCAAAACAAGACCCACTCAAAGGACACCCAAAGAAAAAGCATGGCCTTTGGCGAGGTTTCAACCACCCTGTAAGCGGAAATGCAACTGGGACCCCTGAGATTTGGGCCATGTCTGCGACAGTTTAAACTTGGTGCCAAGCGTGGGGCATGGAACAACCGAATGAGGGTCCCGGCAAAGATGAAGAAATACCTGGCTTCCTTTTAAGACAGGTAATACTATGAGCCTTGGTCAAAATGACCCTTTCTTGAACGATGTGGAAAACATGTTGGAGTTGCCCCATGTCTCTCCCAAATAATCCATAGGCAACCTAAGGCTTGTTGAGCAGGGGGCAAAGTCAGAGTTGGGGGTATTCGTAACCTACCACTTGACTTGACCATTTGGGGTACATAGAAAAACATGTTTCATGAGTCTGGTTTGAGTCCACCCAATATATATATACCTGGACCAACCAAGGGCACTTTTTTTGCGACTCTCTGCAAAAATCCGTGCATTTCCTTGAAATCCATACATTTGAGCAAAAACTGTACTTTTCTTGCAGGCTCAGCATAAGACACAGGAGCATTTTGCTACCTTTTTCTACAAGAATCTCACTTTCAGCTCCGGCCATGGCACTGGAGATTGTCATGCTCATACCATTTGAAGGTGTGCAATTCACCAAGGACAAAAGGTGCCCATTTCCTCAAGAAAATGTTCCGCTGATTTCCGTGCATTTTCCGCAGATTTCCGTACTTGTCCCGCCGATTTCCGTGCATTTCCCGCCGATTTCCGTGCATTTGCGGTTTCTGCATTTTGGCTGAGAAAAGTGCAAACTCGCAAAAGCGGCAAGGAAGCTGTCACACATTGCCCCACAGCAATTGGAGACGAAAGACCTGAAACGGAATTAAGTATGACGGGCCGTGTAAATTGCAAACCGTGTTCATGTGCATCCAAGTGCACCACAAACACTCACAGCCTGCTAAAAGCGATTTCCGTCAAATTTCCTCAAAAGTGTACATTGACACTTTGTTTCTGCATGTACGGAAATTTCAGTACTTTTGGAGGGTTCAGGTATATATATATATGTATAAACACCCCAAACTAAATGACATTGGCATGGGGCCAAATCAGTCGATGGCGTTCGAAGTCAGGGCCCCTTGCAAGCAACAACCAAGGGTTTGGGGCACTCATTTCATCCATGTCCCAGTCGGAGAACTGGTAAGCTATGGCTTGCAGACCCCAAACTCATGAAACTCAATAAACAACGACGCACAGCCCCCAAAAGACCTGACCTGGGGCAAAGACCTGAAAGCAACAGCAAGGTGCTTGAGTTGGTTTCCCATCCCGCCAAAAAGCCAAGTTCAAATCCCACCAAGCCAACCCAATCTCAGCTTCGCGCTGATGGTTTGGAGCCCGGTGGTCTGGTGGGTATGGGCTGGTTTCCCATTCCAGCACTCCAAAAAAGGTCGTGGCTCCAAAAGAATGGGCCCCACAATGGGCCCCTTGATAAAGGGAAACAAAGACCAAAACCTGCGGCTTGCCCAACCTTTTTGTTTGAGCCACAGCTAAAAACCACCAAGCACTCTAGGGGTACCTTCCCCATTCTTTCCAGGGATCCTTCTTTTCAGGAAACAAAACAAAAAAAAGGGGAAACCGCCGGTTTTTGAAAAGAACGATGGTTGAAAGAATGGTTGGAATCAACCCCTAGAAGCACTGCCAAAGGTCCCTCCTTCCTCCGTCCGGCAAAGAGAGCTTCTGAGGCACCAGGCAGGCCCGTGGAATGGGGACCCAGCGCCCACACCAAGGACCGGAAGCAGAGGTCCGAGTGGTCCTGCGCCGGACCCCGGCGCAGGAGTCTCAGCCGGTAAGTCAAAAGACGAAAGCTTGAGTTTTTGTTTGATCTAAGCATATGGATTTGTCTTTTTCAGGCACCCCAAAAACATGATGGTGTTTTGTGTTGGTTTCCCTGAAAGAGCCACAACACAGCACTACTCTTTTTTGCAGGTCGGAACCCCTTCAACAAATGATGGTCTTCCTGTTGGTTTCCCTTTAATAAACACAAAAGAGGGGGCTAAAACGTTTGAAAGCTTGAAGCTTTGGTCGACTCGGCACTTCAATGGGCCTAAGTGCAGTTTCCACCGGCGCATTGGTCACAATTCTAGGTCCATTGAAACGACATCCTCAAAGATATCTCTAAATTGTGGTTTACGGGACACCGCGCCCAAATCAAACTGTTCGCTGAAATAGCCCCGGTGTTCCCTGGGAGTGAGTTGCAACCTGTTGAGTGTCAGAATGTCACCATCTGATCTGTGGATTGCGCATCTGCACCTGATCACTTCTGCAACCAGATTGGCAGAGACATCTCCGCAAGCTGTGGCCCCTCCTCATACGATCTCATACGTCATTTGCCTGAGGTAAAATGTATGGCGGAAGCTTGTTGGTGGGTAAGCCAAATACTTCGGGGATTGGCAAACCACACCAAAACGAACAAACGAGAGCCCGGTCCATATGCTCCATGAAGACTGTTCGCAGCTTCTCGTTCTCCTGCGTCGATTTCGGCAGCTGTCCGTCTCCATATTACAAGCGCGGCAAACAAACAATGCCCCTTGACATGGGGATCTGAACCCCATTCCTCCAGAATTCCTTCGGCACGCCTCGGGAAACCAAAGGGAGGTGTGTAGGCCTGGTGCCCCAAAAAAAAGGTGGTCCGCAGAAGGGGTTGACCTGTAAACCCCAAGGCATTCCCTTTCCCAAAACTCAGCCCTTTGAC